TATGGTCAATTAATATATGATAAAGGAGCCATGGATATACAATGGGGAAATGACAGCCTTTTCAACAGCTGGTGTTGGCAAAACTGGACAGCTACATACAAGAGAATGAAACTAGATTATTGTTAACCCCATACACAAAAGTAAACTCAAATGGATCAAAGACCTGAATGTAAGTCATGAAACCATAAAACTCTTAGAATATAACACAGGCAAAAATCTCTTGGATATAAACATGAGCAACTTTTTCCTGAAGGCATCTCCTTGGGCAAGGAGAGCAAAATAAAAAATGAACAAAGGGGACTACATCATGCTAAAAAGCTTCTGTACAGCAAAGGAGACCATCAGCAGAACAAAAATGCATCCTACAGTATAGGAGAACAGATTTGTAAATGACATATCTGACAAGGGGTTAACATCCAAAATATATAAAGAACTCACATGCCTCAACACCCTAAAAGCAAATAACCCTATTAAAAAACGGGCAGACAATTTGAACAGATACTTCTGCAAAGAAGAAATTCAGATGGCCAACAGGCACATGAAAAGATGCTCCACATCACTAATTATCAGAGAAATGCAAATCAAAACCACAATGAGATATCACCTCACACCAGTTAGGATGGCCAACATAGAAAAAAGACTAGGGAAAACAAATGCTGGGGAGGATGTGGAGAAAGGGGAACCCTCCTACACTGTTGGTGGGAATGTAAACTAGTTCAACCATTGTAGAAAGCAGTATGGGTTCCTCAAAAAACTCAAAATGGAAATACCATTTGACCCAAGAATTCCACTCCCAGGAATTTATCCTAAGAATGTAGGATCCCAGTTTCAAAAAGACATATGCACCCCTATGTTTATCGCAGCACTATTTACAATAGTCAAGAAATGGAAGCAATCTAAGTGTCCATCAGTAAATGAATGGGTAAAGAAGATGAACATATACACAGTGGAATATTATTCAGACATAAGAAGAAAACAAATCCTATCATTTGCAGCAACATGGATGGAGCTAGAGGGTATTATGCTCAGTGAAATAAGCCGGGCAGAGAAAGACAAGTACCAATGATTTCACTCATCTGTGGAGCATAAGAACAAAGAAAAAACTGAAGGGACAAAACAGCAGCAGACTCACAGAACCCAAGAATGGACTAACAGTTACCAAAGGGAAACGGACTGGGGAGGGTGGATGGGAAGGGAAGGAGAAGGGGAGTGAGGGGCATTATGATTAGCACACATAACGTAGGTGGGGGCACAGGGAAGACAGTGTAACACTGAGAAGACAAGTAGTGATTCTATAGCACCTTACTAGGCTGATGGACAGTGACTGTAATGGGGTATGTGGTGGGGACTAGTAACCATAATGTTGCTCATGTAATTGTACATTAGTGGTACCAAAATAAAAAGATTGAAAAAAAAAGGGGAGGACAAAAAGTACAAAAAAAATTGACTTGTGACAAGTCAGTGAATTGGTCACATTAACCTTAAAATGCCACATGAACTGTTATGAAGTGTTATAGTGGGCATAAGTGATTGTCAAAGAGGCTCTATTAATTTTTAAGGCTATAGCAGTGATTCAGCCATTTACTAGATTAGTGAACCAGTCAAATTAATTACCCAGTAAGTGGGTTTTCTCATTTACAATGCAAAAGATATACCTACAAAGTCATTGTGATGATTAAATGAGATGACACAGGTGAGTCACTTGGCACGTGAAGAATGATCAATAACATCATTATCATCATCAAGTCAGATACCTCATAAGCCACTACTTTAATACTGCAGAAGCAGAATCCAAGCTGAGGTTAAAACTGCAAGAAATTTTTGGGGAAAAACCCCTATAAGAGAAATGGGGTGGGAGCCCAAGAAGGCTGGAAACGACATCAGACCCTTATGCAGGTCTGACCCACGTGGAGGAAAGGGGGTAGGAAGAAAGGTTGGGTGGGTAATACTAATGGTGGTGCAAGCTAAGAAATTTCCAGTAAAGCTGATGGGGAGTATTCAAGTCAGTCACCCGTCAGAGGAGTCCTGTGTCTCCTAGGAACTGACCTTCGTTTTGTTTTTGTTTTTATTTTCTCCCATTCATTTTTTTATTAAGGTATTATTGATTTACACTCTTATGAAGGTTTCACATGAAAAAACAATGTGGTTAATACATTCACCCATATTATCAAGTCCCCACCCACACCCCGGTCACTTCCCATCAGTGTAGTAAGATGCCACAGAGTCACTATTTGCCTTCTCTGTGCTACACTGTCTTCTCCTTGATCCCCCCCATACCATGTGTGCCAATCATAATACCCCTCAATTCCCTTCTGCCTCCCTCCCCAGCCAGCCTCCCCTTTGGTAACAGCTAGTCCCTTCTTGGAGTCTGTGAGTCTGCTGCTGTTTTGTTCCTTCAGTTTTGCTTAGTTGTTATACTCCACAAATGAGGGAAACCATTTGGTACTTCTCTGTCTCTGCCTGGCTTATTTCACTGAGCATAATATCCTCCAGCTCCATCCATGTTGTTGCAAATGGTAGGATTTGTTTCTTTCTTATTGGCCTGTCTTTGTATCCTTGCACACTCCATCATCATTGGCTGGGAGCAGCTCATGGACTTCACACAAACACAGTGATGGATACCAGAGTCCTAGGTCAAACAGAGTCCCAGAAAAAAAACAAGAGACTTCTTTTACAGCCACTTTGTCTACTTTGATTCTGTAGTGTTTCCCTGCTAAACCTCCCCCTAATCAAGCAAATTACAAATGAAACAACAGGAAGGTTTTAATCTTTCTTCAGTAACTAGTTTAAGAGCCACTCTAAGTGAGTGAAAAAAATGGCATCTCTGCCTTAATATTGTGTCTGTCTCCTTTGCTGCCTTAGTCTTTGGATCAAAAAGCTTCTGTCAGCCCTGCAGCCCTGCATGTATACTTGTTAATTATCAAAAGGGATTTTGATTATGATGTAAGACTGATGCAACCCGTCCTTTACCCAAAACTCTCCTCCCCAGAGGAGATAAAAAATTTTGAACAAAAATGATAACTGCATTGTCAAGGACTTATAGGAACATCATGGCCAGACTCATATCAACTGACTGGAGTCAACTAACCAAGGACAAGGTGGCCACAATCCTCCTCAGACCCTTGCTGACTTCCAGATGTCTGAGGTTGTCAACTTGCGACCTCAATCCCCTCCCACTCACCCCTTCCCTAATAAAGAAGCTTGAAATCAACCCTGAGTTAAGATGGTTCTTTTGTACATGAGTCCACCATCTTCTCAGTCTGCTGGCTTTCTGAATAAGTCACTTTTCTTGCCCAACACCTTGTCTCTTCACTTATTGGTATATAGTGAGGTGAGTGGCATGAGCTTGAACTTGGTAACACCACCATCTATTCTGGATTTATATCAGGGAGTTAATGCTTAGTAAAGCACTTAGATTGGTGCTAAGTTGTTATTAAATGATGGTGTTAGAGCTTAACTGAACTTCTGAAAGAAGTGAGAGCTACAGGATGATAAGCTTGCAGCGCTCTTCTAGCTGGCATTTAATGAGGCAATAGTGCTAGAATTGGGGGTCTTTCCTGCAAGAATCTTCAAGGTGTAAATAAAACTTTTTCTATTGTATGTGCAGAAAAACTAAGGTAAAGATGGGGAGAGACTAGAGGAACCTCTTCAGAAACAGTATCCCCCTACACAAGACCGATGTTTACATATAAATTTTCTCTACACAGTGATACTTTTTTAAAAAAGAATAGTATGGAATGTGCAAAAGCTCTTGCTCTCCAGGCAAAGCCAAAAAAGAAAATGCAAAAACCCCATCACAAGGAAAAAAAATTTTTTTCACCATTTGAGGTGATGGATGTTATCTAAATTTAGTGCAGCAACTGTTTCCTAGTAGATATATATGTCAAGTCATGGTGCTGTACACGTTAAAGTTACACAGTGTTGTATGTCAAACTGGGGGGGGACGTCTCCCATAAATTCTCATAACACTTTGGACCCTATCTCTTTGCCTTTATAAGATTATAATGAATGATTTGTGATTATTTATGTATATGTCTTTTCTCCTCAACTGAACATAAGAGAATTCATGTTTTGCTGCTCAGCAAATATTTATTGAACACTTCAATGTGCCAGACACTATGCTGGGTGTTTGGGATATATCACCAAGCAAAATAAAAATATGCCTGCCTTTGCAGAGTTTACACTTTGTTGGGGGAGACAAACCATAAACATGATAAATAAGTAAAGTATATCTTCTGCTAAATAGTGTGAAAAGTATGCAGGAGAAAACAAACCAAAATAAGTAAATGGGCTGCAAATTTAAGAAAATGGTCAGGATGAGCCTCATGGAGAAGATGACACCAGAGGCGAGTTCTAGGAAGAGTGGTGGTGATCATCTTGAAGGCACTTAGTACAGTTTAATCTCCAAAACATCTACCTTGCATGTGATGAATAGTCAATAAATATTTACTGATCAAATAAAATTCAAACACTTGGTTAAAAATCACATGCTGGAGTGAAGATTAGCCAAGAATGACATCTTCAGCAGATTAAAACTATGATCCCTACTGCAGCACCAGAGACTTACCCCTTTAAAAACACTGCAGAAACAGTATGAACACAGCGAAAGTTAATAAAAATCACTATTACCATTTTTTAAAAAGGAGAACACAGAACAATGCCTCTTCAAAAAACTGATTTTACTAATCAGCTTCCCATTATTTGAAACCCAGTCATTACTTTCCACAGTACCTTAGAAACGTGTGTCATTTGGCCTTAGCTGTCTGCCATAAAGTGTTATGTGCCATGAAAAATACTGTTTGTTGGAAGGGACCTTGTCTTTTTATTTAATCTTATATTTAAATGACAAAGCTACCTTAAACATGTATATGTACAAATTCAGTGATTAATGCATAATTACATCATGCTTACAAACTGTTCATCAGTAATAAATTATATTTTAACTTACAACAAAGTTAACATAAGCAAACTTTTTTCCAATAAATTATCTCACACAGATATATGCTTATGAATCTATTTAATTGCTCAAAGTGTGCTAGAGAATACATTTTTTGGAATACATATTTCATTAAATTTGTTACAAAATAGATGATTTCGAATGGGGATTTCATACATTATCCTGATTATCAAAAAAATATCTGTATCATCTGCTACCAAACCTGTTATGTCAAAATACATTTTTTAATTATGCATCTAATTATGTCACTTCCAGGTCATTGGTTTTGTAAATTAGAGATCCCATCTTAAATTATTTTTTATAAATATTTCCACATTTTCCAATTTTTACTTTTCTAATGAAGAAATAATATAATTGACCGATGTTTACATATAAATTTTCTCTACACAGTGATACTTTTTTAAAAAAGAATAGTATGGAATGTGCAAAAGCTCTTGCTCTCCAGGCAAAGCCAAAAAAGAAAATGCAAAATTTAATCATGTCTCCTGATTTTTACTCTTTGAGTTTTATTTTCTTCCTTTGTCTGTTTTTTAAGAGCTAGAAATTATATTTGTAAGGATGTATATCCCTTCAGGCAAGGATGATAAGTGAGAAACTTCAATTCTTAGAGTGTGAACATACAATTAAGAAGTAATTACTTATTAAAAATAACATTGTTAGTATTTCAATTATTTGGGGTCTGGGTTAGTTTTACATTATCAAAAAAACCAAATTAATTGGTAGTAAATATATTACGTTTCTGGGTCAAAAAGGAGAGTCTTTCTAGATAAGGAGTTGTGCAGTCAGCAATGACTAAATTAGTCAGGATAGCAGGAATCTGGGGTCAAAGCTGTTTCCACAACTTTGGTCTTACCACCATAGGTAAGTGGGACCCTATTTGTGTAGCACTTGTTTCTGTCATAAGTGTAGCAGGTTTCACTGTCTTCATCACAGATGTTGCTCTGGGAGGCAATAACTATTTGATTATCCAGCTCCACTTCTATAGGATCACATTTTTTACAGCTGAAAAAAAAATACATATGCATTAGACAATCCCCATCAAACAGTGTCTCAGAATCTGAGTTACTATACATTTCTATCAAAAATTAGTTCTTGCAGCTCTGAGCTGACAGCTGATAAAGGGTGACTCCTTTCAGATCTCAGATGCTACAATATAGAATGGGTTTATGGGATTTTTCAATTTCTGATAATTAGTTCAAAGTAAGCAATACAGTTAATGCTATGATAATATGATTGTTTTGTCTACACCATACAGCAACTTCTATTCTGTTAGGTTTATTCCCAACTGTATGCTAGGATTAAAAAAGTTATTTATAATGACAAGGAAGGAAGGATTTTTTAAAATAAATTGTTTGATATTGGATTCTATAGTTTCCAAAGAAGCACCTGCATGTCAACATGCCTGAAATCCACTCATTGAACTTGTAAGAAAAATTGGCCCTTCCTGTCCTAAGGGCAATAATTTCTTCTTTAAAATAAATGTATGGCCAACTTTTATCTGTGATAAGTTTTATAGATTTATGATATCTAGTAATTAACATAGGAATTAATGTAATCAAAAGTTCAAATTGGTGAATGCTTGTACTCCAACATAGTCTCAAAAGCATTCTTACTAATAAGTTTAATTAAAAGTTATTAACTTCTGTATCTGTGTTAGTATGAAGGAAAATCTCTTACAGGTCAGACAAATGGTACACAAAATTGGTTCTCAGTGGTGAAGTGGGATCCGAGATATTCTCCCTGTTGTTCAGAGGAACACTAAAAGAAGGAAAAAAACAAATCAAAATAATGAAACTAGCAGATTTTGTTATTTTTAGTAATTGGCATATTGGTAGGGCAGTATTTACTATTTCATCAGGAGATTTAATACCTTTAGCACTCGATGATTGCTCAACAGTAAACTCATGGTAATTTGCAGTATTTTAAGCATTTCCCATTCAAAATAAACCTCACTGCAACTCCTCTGTCATTGATCTTTGCTTACTTGGTAAATTCCTGCTTTCACATTAAAAATCAGCCCAAGTTTTATTCAATGATGATCCCATCTCCACCCCTCAATAAACTCCTTCCTCTGTAATCTCATTAAAGTTCTTATATCTTTAGTAAGCATAACAAATGCCATATCATAGCTGCTTGTCTACAATGTAGTTGCTTCCCTGGAGTACATAAGTTCCTTGAGGCAAAATCATTTATGTATTCCCAGTGCATCAATAGACATGTGGCATGTGGGAATGCTCAACACTTGTGGAATGAATGGACAGATTATTATCCACATTTTTGAGATGCAGAAATTATAAATCAGGGACATTAGTGACCTAGCAAGTTCACACAGCTACTACAGTAAAGGTGTAACTGCAATCCCAATCTCTTGATTTAGTGATGTTCCATGAAAAATTAGATAACACTTGTCAACTAGTTCAGGTAATTTCATTAACTTTCATGTTTTTTCATCTATGTCATTATTTTCCTTCATATGCATCCCTCCCTAACAAAAGATATAAATAAAGAAAAACTTGTATTTCCTAACTCAGTATTTAGCAATATTATCCACATAGATACACAGGCCAAAAACTTGGAAACCATCCCTGAGTCCTTCTTCTCCATAATGACCTATGTCTAATCCATCTCACAGCTAAATAATTCTAAGTATCTGCATCTATGAAATCTACCACTTGCTTCAAGAACACCACCATTTCTCGCCTACATTTAGCAATATCCTCCTTCAGTCTTGACCCCTCCAGTACCTTAGCCACATTATTGCCTAAACGGCCTAACATACAAGCCTAATTTCCTTCTCTCCTTAAACCTAGTGTCTCCCCACAGATAAGAGGATATCCTTAAGATGGCACAGAAGGCATTTCATGATATGCATCTAACTCTCCAGCCTCACCTCTCACCAGGCCATTCTGATGACTAAAATCCAGCTATAAACAATTGCTTGCAGTTCCACACATTTACCATGCTTTTCTCTTCTCTAAGTCTTTAGCAATAACATTTCTAGCATTTACTAAGTATTTATAGTGTGCCTGGTACTATACTAAACATGCTACCTAATGATTTCATATAATCCTCACAGTAACCCTGTTTCCTTTTCCTGGAATGATCTGCCACACCTATTAACCATGTCATTCCTCACACACATTTACCAGTTAGCTCCCAGCCAGCCAGCCAACAGCCATCATCCACTTCCACATCCTTTCCTGCTTCCTACTGTCCCAACCCCCAGGATAGGACTGGATGCCCCTCATTAGCTCTACTACAGTATGCTATATTTATCCCTGTTGTAGCATTTATAACACTGTATTATAATTGTCTTTTTGTTTAAAGTTCCCTACTAAACTGTAAATTCTTTGATGGCATGGACTGTGTTTTATATAAATCGTTGTATCCCTTGCTCCAATTCTCAGTGGCATTTAGTTGCATTCAATAAATGCTTGTCAAATGAATGAATGAATGAATGGACCCATTCTTCATAAGATTGTAAAGGCTCCCATAATATCAGAAAATGGCTTTAGATAATGAGAAAGGTAAGAGAATAAACATGTATGAATATCTACTCTGGGCCCCACACTGTTCTAGATGCTTTTCTACATTATTGTATTTAATCCTCACAACCCTATAAAGTATACATATATATATACATAAACATATAATCATCCCTGTTCCACAGTTTAGGAAACAGGCTCATATTAGTTAGGTAATTTTCCCAAAGTCACAGCATTAGTAAGTGATGGAGTTGGAAATAATGCCATAATGACACAGTAATGGTACAAAACTTACAGAAGTGAGATCAGGGAAGCACCGATAGATATCAGACTAAATATCAATGTCATGGATGCCGTTCTTCCAAGTTACATGCTTGCCAAATTGCTCTGTGCCTAACAGAGGCCTCTGTGGAATGGAGTCTGTGTGGTTAAAGAAAACTTGCAGAGGAAGTGATATCTAAGCTAAGACATGCAGGCCTTGAGGAGGAGTTAACCGGGCTAAGAGGGATGGGAGAAAGAGTTCCTTAAGCAAAGGAACTAGCATACACAAAAAAAGAAGGGGAAGAAAACACTGTGCATGTGAGGACAGGAAGGTGCTATGAAGGGGCTGGATTTTCAAACAAAAGATGATTTTTTAAAAGTGTCAGTGGAAGACCTTGAGCCTTGAAAGTTTTACTGAGTGTTGCAGGTTAGGCCAATGTATGTGTAATGCATCTGGGTCACCACGTAGGGGACACTACCAAAAAGCTTTCAAGAAGGATAGTGACATCATGATAACTGGCACATAGGTTAGGTGAATAAATAAGAGCAAATAATTTTTGAAAATGTGCTAGAAATTATATAGTCTCTAAAAGGAATAGATCTCAATTTATCTTTATAATAACTCTGTTAGATACATACTAACTCCCCCCATTAAAGATGAAAAAGTTGAAGTTTAGATTGGATAAGTAACTTGCATATAAGAGCACACAGCTATTCAGTGACCCAGCCAGAATTTGAAACAAATTCTTCTCCCATCGATGAATGACACTGAATGCTATATTCTATTTCAATAAGAGGTACTTGACTGGGGAGAAACTATTCAAGGTTCACAAGGAAGACTTACTACTTACTGGATCCAATAGGAGTCTCATTTCTTAAATATTACTTGCATTTTTGCAATTAAGTCTCTCATAGCTTGCAACTACGGACTGAAATCCAGTCTACAAGTGAAGACTGAATCAAAGTAGTCAATTTGATCAGTCTACTTCATCTTTATATAGATAGTTGAGAATAGTACAAAATACTCTGTAGTCCCTGTTTTGTACAAAATAAGGGCTTTTAGTGTCATCTCAAGCTTCAGTCTGAACTAATCAAAGAGCAACTGAAAGCTCTGATTCGAACCAAAATAACTCCATATAAATAAGGCATGTAAATCATATAAATCATATAAATGATGACTAGATTGGAACGTTCAGTTATAATTTGATCTAGCTGACTGGTTTTACATCACCTGGAAACCTTGGTTCTTGCTCCCAATTTCTACAGATTGGCTCAAGCCCATTAACTAGATACAACTTCATGAAGGTGTTACACATCAAAAAGAGGAGTAAAGATATAGGTATTCCATTCAAACAATAGTTACTATCATAAAGTATCCCTGCTTACAACATGGGGGGAAAAAAAGAAAATATGAAATGCTACATACATAATTCTGATGTTTCTCTCCACTATATCTTGACTAGGATCTTCGGGAGAAGGGATGATTCTGGACGTGATCCGGGCGCACTTACATTTGTTATCAACAAGAACAGTCATTTCATCTTCATCTTGGGCTTGGAAGATCAAACATATTAAGAAAGGGCAACAAAAGTCTATTTATTTACTTCTATTGGGTTCGTTTATTTTTCCTGCAGAAAAGTTTTATGGTTGATCAGTTTCAGTTATCTCCATTTGTTCTCTTTCCTAATGTAAAATAGCTAAGTGCAATCTCACAGCATAGTTAAGGAAATCCAGATGTACTCCAAAAGGAACTTTCTCTTTTTTCCTCAGACGAGTCTATTGGAAACTCAGCTGAAAGTTTTCACCTACTGCTTTTAATAGAAACACAGCTCTCTGAATAAGGTGGCCTTGTAAAAATCAGTGCCAAATGCAAAAATGAGAGAAAAAAACAAAAATCTAGACTGGATTTCTCTCAGATCAAAGCAGATCATTCAAAAGTGAACCAAAAATAACATTAGTCTTTATAAACCCAGTTTGAAGTTTCTTTCCTGAAGTACATTTACATACTTTATCTTTTTTGCTTAGATTGCATTAACACTAGGAACAAGTATGTTTTCCCCAAGATAATCTTATCTTGTAAGGCTTTTAAATATTCTCTACTACAATTTTCATAAATTTATTTATAGTCTTCTTTTTCATAATAACAATCAGGTTATCATGGTATAATGATTCAATCAAATAAAATAATAAGTGCTATATTTATTAACATTTCTTGTAAGGATTATTTTTAAAGATATACACAAATTTATAGACGAAGTGTTATAAATTTGCAAAAATAATTCAGAAAATATTATTAGTTGCAACCTCTCTTTAATATAACATACCTGTGTACAGAAAAAATTAATAAATGAATGAGTACAAGGTGACCATTAAAGCCTTAACCCTAAGTTTCAACATTTATCATCTAAGCTGAATATTAGGCAAAGAGCTCTGGTAAGTGTTGCAAAGAATAAACAAGAGAAATTTCTTAATATCTGGGCTTAGATCAGTTGAGTAAATAACAGCTTTAATGGTGCTAATTAAATCATAATAATGATGTAAAACATCTTTTCTGTTATTATAATTTTAGCTAAGTGACCTTTAATATTTCCTCCCATCAGGCCTCAACTAAAAAATAAACATTTTTGGCACATAAATTCAAGTTATAAAAGCTAAATGATCAGGATAGATATTACTGTAACTGGAAGTCAATTATTCCAGTGATGATCTCAGAGCAGAGGACATAATTGTAAGACCTAATTTCAGTCTTAGTGATAACAGTCATTACAAAAACATTTTAAGACCATTGTTATTGTACCTACAACTGTTAGAAATACTTTATAAGGTATTATTGTGCTATTATTCTTAACTTCTTAATAAATCTTCTGATAGAAGTCTGCACAGTATTAAAGAAGAAACATTATGAAGTCAACTCAAGATAATGATATAATGCTTCTTAGCATTTTGAAAAGAGTGAGATGACTCAGACAGTGTCCTCTTCCCTACTCCTGATTCATGATTCTTAAATAAAATACAAATGAGCATGATGACTGATCAAAAATATAGACTGAATCAAGTATGTGATTTGATTATTAAGTCTTAAACAGAATATATCTACATTTTATTTATGGCATATAATTAATTTTCTTACCAGAAACCTAGGAAAAATGTATTTTCACTGTTACATGAAAATATTAGGCAGCCTAATAATATATACCAGAAAATATACAAATACTTTCAATTTACCAAGACTTATAAGATTCTAACATTCTAACAGGCAGTATTTTTCCTAATAAACCTGTACAGATCTGTGCCTTACTTTATTCCAAGAGCACCTGAGACATAATAGGTGCTCAGTAAATATTTGCCAAATTTAATTCTGTTCAACAAATAAGAAAATAGACTTAACAACACATGTTAGATATGAACATAATGAGTTTATGAAAAGGTGATTTTCTTACACAGGCAGATAGGATAGTAGTAGGAATGTGGATTACAAGATCAGAGGGCCTGGGTTCTATTGATCTACTGATCTGTCATCATCTACTGACCATGCTTGCTGTGTGGCCTTAGGTAAGTTATCTCACCTCTTAAAATCTCAATGGGCTCAACTATATGTCGGAAATGATAGTACCCACCTTCAAATGGTTATGGTGAGAATTAATGGAGTTGTATATGTAAATCAATTAACATAATGCCTAGAACATAGTATGTATTCAATAAATGGTAGCTCTTTCATTTATATTTTTTAACATATATGTTTATGGGTATATAAACTTCATAACCATATATATTTTTATATGTAAAAACCATATAGTGTCCTTATATTTTAAATATTATTAGAAATTTGCTATTCTTAGTGCTAAATTAGTATAAAAACACATGTAAAATAAATATTCTTAATTACATCATACTCTATCTTGATATAATAATAATAAGCTTAGTGTTAAAAATAATCAAGTGAAATTATATCATTTCTAATTCATTTGCCCTTCTAGATGAAAATAATTAAATGTATTTTATACTGAAATTGTATTCTATTTTCTATTATAGTCTGAAAGATTAATAAACAAAATAACCAAAGTCCAGCCATCAACTTATAGGCAACCTGTATAATATTAAACATTGTTAAAAGGTGACAATAAACCTGTAGGCTAACATCCAAGGAAGTTATTATAACTAATACCTATCTCTCTCGAGAAATAAAATCCCAATTCAATCTATATTGTACTTAGAATAATTTTTACTTCATTTCTCCAGAATGTGAATTCAAGATTCAGTATGGATATTCATAAGTATAGCTATCATAGTTATCCAGAAATATATTTTTTCTTATTCTGTAGGTTACTGTAGGCAAACAAATAAGAGAAAAAGAATAAAAAGAATCACAGCAAGTCTTGACTACATAATAATCATTGTCATATAAAGATCAGGGCATGTTAGAAAAAAATAGCCAGCTAGCTGGCCAACCAAAGCACAAACATAATGTTAAATCTTAAGAACAGATCTGTGTTATCATTTTCCTTTTATCTGGGTTCATTTTCAAAATACCACATACCTGTCACAAGAACAGCCTTAACAAAAATGGCGAAGACTCCCCAGAAAAGCAAATGGTTCTTCATCTTGAACCTCACTTCTTTTGAAAAAACAGAGCTCAAAAGTCAGGGTTAAGGTGTGTGATCTATAAGAAGTGTGCAAATGACGGTGGTTCTGCTTTCTTAAAATAACGCCCCAGACAGCTAACAAACTAAAAACAATCACAACTGCGGTTGAAGTCTGAAATTTAAATGCTGCACTGGAAAGAAATGGACAACTCAAACTTAGGTATTTTCTTCCAAAGTATCCCCCAAAAGCCATGCTTTGATGTAATCACGTTTTATTTTACATTTAGTCTATATAACGAAACCAGAAGACTAATAATAATTTCAAGGCAGGAGTCCATTAACAATGTTATATATGGATAAATATAACTTAGGTAATAAAGTTTTCAAATCAAATATATGATGTTTGTTGTTGCCTGGAACAATAAATGAAGGGAAGAAGAGGAAGAATGAATTAAGGTCCTTTAAGGTTCCAATTGTATCTTATGTCAACTTTTCTTCTAGACCTCCATTAACGAAGCTACCAGATTTAAATATATATATTATATATCAAAGATATATAAGATTCTGATTACTTTCACTATTTTATAAGCTCAGACATGGAATTGGAATTAGAAGCAGGTGGATACTAGATGTATCAGTTGCCACCTTTTAATATGACAGCATTAAAGCAGACCTTGTGCTTGTTCATCTATCTAGTCACACCTTTCAGAACTGTAAACCCAGAAAATGATTTTCATTTGAGATACCTCAACAGGAAAATCCATCACTGCAATATTTTTTCTAAATTTTTTCCATTAATTAATGTAAAAAACCCCACAAAAACAAATCCCTGAGCTTTCGGACAGGGTATCCCTCTACTCCTTGCCCCAACATGCTAGAATTTCCTGTCCTGTAGGCAGAGCTGTTTCCAAGAACATGTTGGTTACATTTATATGCAACATCAATTCTACGTTACTTTTGGTTCTCAGTTCTCTAATTTTTTTAAGAGTCTCCTAGAATTTTGAGAGGTACTAAAGAAATACTTCAGGATCCTAAGTAGGCAAGCAGATTTCATAGATGGCAGCCAAATGAAGGCTGCTAAAGGCTAGCACATAATTGCTCCCTTCAGCCAATTATATTGAATGTCCTGCAAGAACAAGGTATCAAGCACTAGAACACACAACATTGCTGTACTGTCCAAATTTACTCTCACTTTAATTTCTATCATAGGACTTAGAAACTATTTAGGGTTAAGAAAACATACTGAATTAACACAATTCTATTATATCTATAATTCAAGAATTATATCTATTAGAAAAAGAAACAGATCTGAAAGCACATTATTTTAGTGTATGATCAGGATGTCAAAACAAGTACAAACCACTTAGGAGCTCCTCATCTCTAACTGTAGTTTCTAAACAACTGATTTATTCTATCACTCCAGAAAGAGTAATTAGAAATCAGCTCTTTTTTTTTTAAGTGATTATTTCCTTGAAAATAACTCAATGCTAGACTGCCTCCCCAAAGCAAGTTGCATAAATCCTTGGGGGCAAATTAAATCTTCCCCAAAAACTTGTTTTTTATAAAAGCAAAGATTATTTTATTCATAATTACCAAGCTAAAGAAAAGCTCTAGATTTGGTGTTTCTATTCTTTCAGTCCAATAGTTTTGTATTTCTATTATATAAAATATTCATCTAAAAGAAATTATTTTAATAAAAATGTGGTGTAGAGATCCAAGTGGCACTTTTGCCACCAGAAGCAAGTTACCTATACATACAGCACGGGGTCAGGACCAGTGTTGCACCAAGTGTGGTCCAGAAATCATCTTCCCTAGAATCATTTAGAGTACTAGTCAAAATATGGATTTCCCATACACCCTGATACACCCAGTCAGAATTTCTGGTGCTGTGACCTTTAAATATGCATTTTTAAAAAGTCTTTCAATTGATTCTGATATACACTAAAACTTGAAAATTTGTAGACTTGAAGCCTGTGGGAAATGGGGAGGAAATAACTAGCAGCATTAACTATTTATGGAAGAACAAGAGGTTAAAAAAGGTAAATTTTTTTAAACAAATTAAAACAACTTATAAAGGATTAGGGTTAGGGTTAGGGTTAGATTAATTGTTTCACAATCTTTTTTGGCACTAATCAAATATTTGTAAATAACAGGTCCTGGTTTAATTTTTAAACCATTTCATCTCCAGTTTTACTTGTTTTCTTCCCCCTAAAAATGTGAATAGTAGAACTTTTTCCACACAAATGAGTTAAGTAACTGGGAGTTTGGTCACATATTTGAAATTCTTCCCCAAAATGGTTTATTTTTCTACATTTATATGTAAGATTCTTACATAATAAGATGTTCAGTGATAGACTCATTTGGGTGAAAGAGATCTTAAATTACCTTCTCACCTTCTTTATTCCCACTTAAGTTTTGTTTCGATTTCCTGTACAGCAGACAGTCTGATCAGCATCCGTTTAAATACCATCTGAAATGGGCCAATGCTTCATTTACTATGGACAGAGCTTATTATATTTGGACACTCAAATCATGACAAAGACTTCATTCTCTTGGGACACAGAGAGTACACTCTCCTTGTTTTCCTCCTATCTCATTGGTGACTCCTTCTCAGTCTCTTGCTGAACTTTCCTCTGAATATCTAGGCTTGATCCACAGCTTTCTCTTTTCTCTTAACCTCTCCCTAATTAATTTTATCTGATCCATGGCTTTGAATGGAGGACATGCTGTGACTCTCATATGTATAACTCTGTATCTTCCCTTGCCCTCTGAGCTCCAAATTCCTATATCCAACTTTCTATTTGATATCCCCACTTGGCTACCTCACAGGTAGCTAAAACTTAACTAGGGAAAACAGTACTCTTGATGACCAAAGCACTCCTATTCTAATCTTCAGTCTTCCTCATCTCAGTAAATGGTACCCCTATCTACCTGGTTGCCAAGTCAAAACTCTCTTTTATTCCTCTCGTTTCTCCTGCCCCACATTCAATTTACCACCATGTCCTGTTGGTTTTATTTCGTGAATATATCCCAAATTTATCTGATTCTTTCCATTTCATTGCCATCCTAATCCAATCCTCCATTCTCCTTCCTGGACTACTACAATAACCTCAGTAATAAAAAGTGATTTTTCCTTTGCCCCAGCATTTGTAACTAGGGCTCCCAGCTGACAAATGAGAATGGGAAAGTACCTCAAATTCTAAAGAGTCAGACATTTCTTCCAAAGCTTAACAAGAGGCAACAGAACTCAATTTACTGCCACCAACTACCACCTGACCAACTCCTGAGTTCCCTCCTCCAGTCTTTACGGGACTTTGGAAGGAAAAAGAGGAATGACATCATATGAACTACTGGCCTTGTGAAAATAGTAGTGTTTATGGTAAGAGACTTTCCCCCCTTTATTCTTAGGAGAGGGAATAAAGGGTGCCCTTCTCTCCCCAAAGCCAAGTGAAAGAGAGACCCAAGAAAATACCTCAAAGAGATCAGGGACCATACAAGAAGGGGAATTTTAGGAGCAATATAGAAAATAGTTAATAGAAAGGAGTCTGAGTATGACTGCTTGAGTTTATTTCCCATTCCACCACTTACAAGCTGTGTGACATTGGACAAACCATACATAAATCATTTAACCTCTAAGTTTCAATTCCTCTACCAGTAAAATGGAGATAATAACAATACATATTTCATAGGATCTTTGTGAGATTTAACATGTATTATTATATATAAGGAAGTTAGAACAGATCTTGGCAAATGGTCAGCTATAAAAATACTAGTGATTTTTATTATCATCATCATAACCATTATAATCATCACCTTTATGTTGGCCACTCCTTGCTGAGTTGCAGCAAATGCAAACCCAACCTGGGGCTATGAATTGCAATGAAATTTGAGGAAAACATTCTTGGGTAGGCTTAACATTTCCCTTTGGGTTGTGGGCATGTAGGAACATTGAAACTGATATGTGTTCATGCTATATGATCCTAAGAAGGTATGAGCGAAAATATCCGACAAAGCAATAGTAGTGAAAACAGTATGGTATTGGCATAAAAACAGACACATAGACCAAAGGAACAGATTAAGAGGTCAGAAATAAATATGCACATTTATGGTCAACTAATATTGGACAAAGGAAACCAGAATACTCAATGGAAAAAGGATAGTCTCTTCAATAAATGATGTTAGGAAAACTGGATTTGCACATGCAAAAGAATGAAATTAGACCCCTATGTTATACCACTCACAAAATTTAACTTCAAATGGATTAAGGACTTAAACATACAACTGAAAGCATACAACTCCTAGAAGAAAACAGGGAAAAAGCTCCTTAACATTGGTTTTGGCAATGATCTTTTTGGATATGATACCAAAAACACAAGCAACAAAAGCAAAAATTAACAATTGGGACTACATCAAACTAAAAGGCCTCTGCACAGCAAAAGAAACAATCAACAAAATGAAGATGGAATTTACAGAATAGGAGAAAATATTTGCAAGCCATATATCTGATGAGGTCAATATATAAAATACATAAGAAACTCCTACAACTAAATAGCAAAAAAAAAAAAGTCTGATTTATAAATGGGCAGAGGACTTTTTTCCAAAAAGACATTTTTCCAAAGAAGGCATACAAATGGCCAACATGTACATGAAAAGTTGCTAACATCACTAATCACCAGAAAAATGCAAATGAAAGCCACCAGATACCACCTCACACCTGTTAGGATGGCCTGTGTCAAAAAGACAAGAGATAACAAATGCTGATGAGAAGATGGAGAACAGGGAAGTGTGGTGCACTGTTGGTGGGAATGGAAATTGGTGCAGTCACTATGGAAAACACCATGAAAATTCTTCAAAATATTAAAAACAGAACTACCATATGATGCAGCAATCCCACTTCTGGGTAATAGCAAAAGGAATATCCAAAGGAAATTAAATCACTACCTCAGAGAGATATCTTCTCTCCCATGTTCACTGCTGCATTATTCATAGTTGCCAAGAGATGGAAACAACTAAAGTGTCCATCGGCAGAAGGATAATGAAAATGTGAAAAATCTATCTTCTATATATATATATATATATAT